TTGCTATTTTTGGACAACTAAATGCCGAGAGATTTTTCCTACTTTTGGTCGTTGGTTCCCCCTTATAAACAATAGGGTAATTTGGATCTCCTTTTTTCTATCCATGGGATTGCCTTTATCTTTCACACTATATTGTTGTTAGTTCAACGGTCTGCTCATTTTCATGTGCTTAACACTCATATATGATCACCGATTACTGATTTTTATGTTTAAGTTTCATTCATTAGATTCTTAGTGTAGCCTGCATAGAAAAAGATGTCTAGGATTCAGTTGACTCACTGGTAGCTCACTCTTGCAGGCAAAAGAGTATTTCGAGAAGGCTGCAGAAAATGGAGAGGCTGGTGGATTCTACAACCTCGGAGTCATGTTTCTTAAAGGAATTGGGGTGAAGAGGGATGTGAAATTAGCATTCAAATATCTTTCAGCGGCTTTTGATGCCGGTCAACCAAAAGCATTTTATCAACTGGCGAAAATGTTCCAAACTGGTGTGGGTTATAAGAAAAATGTTCCTCTGGTGAGTCAAATACAGTTAGTCATATACGCATACATTTACTGGGATTATCGACCTTATATCAGTATCTTATGTTCTACTTTTTCATGAATGAACTGGGTTGGTGGTTTATCTTTCCTATACGTTGCCTGAACTGCAACACCATACAAGACTTGTTTGCTTTACAACACTTATCCCCAAAAAAGGACGTGTTTGCTAAGGGTTTGGTGGCTAGTTGTTTCTTGGTGACCTTATTTAAAAAGTGGCTTTTAATTCCTAACTAGGTCTCGTAGCCATGCGTTCATCATAATATTTTGACTTGAATAATTGATAGAGTGGAATGGAAATATATCCTCTCCGATCCAATTTATATGTCACTTTTCATTTTGAGACATTCCAAATTATTTGACACCAATATATTATTAATGTTATTCTGTACAACTGTGACAAGTTCTAAGAATTGAAATTCATTTAACTCTTTAGCATCTAAACATTGATGTGAGACTTTCTCTATAAAACTAACTATTTATTGCTTGATATATTCTTCTAGTACTACAAATATAACAAACAATTAAAGCAACATCTTAGGTAACCTAATTTTTTTACTTATCAAAAATAAATAAATTAAGGTAACGTCTCAAACTCTATGCCTAATCGAAACCATTATATGAAATGGAATCGGCTGAGTAATTGTTCTCTACTAGGTGGTGTAGTGATAATATTCAAGTCATATCTTTTCTACATGTTTTTGGGTAAAGAGGAGTTAGCGCTGTGTAGAGTCGTAGATAGATTCTATAGAGGTGCAGCGGCGCATAGCTTTCAGAGCTACTCTCCTTAATCTGAGAAAAAGGAGAGAAGCATGATATTATAGTTGCTGAAACTTTTATGTTTACAGTGTCAAATTCTAAGAAGTGCTATTGTCTTCTTAAATAGCATATAAATAGCCTTAAAGGATGTATTTTCTTTTTCTGTTTGCCATTTTGTGGTCCTCCCCCCTTTAAACCTGCCCTCCATTTTTTCAGGCAACTGCCTTGTACAAACTAGTTGCGGAACGTGGACCATGGAGTTCTTTGTCTAGATGGGCACTAGAGTCATATTTGAGAGGAGATGTGGGCAAGGCTTTCCTTTTGTATTCGCGAATGGCAGAGTTAGGCTATGAGATTGCGCAAAGTAATGCTGCATGGATCCTTGACAAATATGGAGAAAGAAGCATGTGTTTGGGAGAATCTGGAGTTTGCAGTGATGAAGAGAGGCATCAACGCGCTCATGCCTTGTGGTGGCAAGCTTCTGAGCAGGGTAATGAACATGCTGCATTGCTTATTGGAGACGCATATTACTATGGTCGGGTATGTTAGTTTACATTTATTAGCAGTTTACATTCATTAGCAGTAGCCTGAAGTTGTTTATCTTATTCTAAGCTCTTCGCATGTTACTCTGGTCGGGTATGTTAGTTTACATTCAGTAGCAGTAACCTTAATTTATCTTTTTCATACTCTCCTCTTTCGTTGGCTTGACTTGCACATGAATGAAGTGCTGGAAGACTAATCATCTGTTTCTTTTAATAGGGTACTGAGCGGGACTATGAACGTGCAGCTGAGGCTTATATGCACGCCAAATCCCAATCTAATGCTCAAGCTATGTTCAATCTTGGTTACATGCATGAGCATGGCCAAGGACTACCTTTTGATCTTCATCTTGCCAAACGCTACTACGATCAGGCACTAGAAATTGATAATGCTGCAAAATTGCCTGTAACATTGGCCCTTGCAAGCTTGTGGATTAGGAAAAACCACGCCAATAGTTTTTTGGTAAATATTTCCTCTATTTCTTTTACTCGCATACAATACATGCACACAGGGCACACAGATACTTTTTTGTTCATTTTGTATTTCAGTACATTTAGCCCCTTTGAGCTCATACATTCGTTGGATGATCTCTTGTTTCCCTAGTCAAAACTGTGACAAAGAGAGAACACTAATCAGAAATATCCTAAAGGGATCACCAGTAATTTGGTACAGAGATATGAGGCTTCTCTGATTGTCTGAGGGACTTTGCCTTTGGCATTTGCAGAAGATAATTGGATTTGCTAGTACAGAAAAACCTAGAGTTCCACATTTGCTTACTGTGGAATGGTGGTTCTAATAATCACCATATTTGGGTTCTGCATGTGTGTAGAGTATGGATGGACCAATGGGAATTCAGGAGGAGAATTTTGAGAGTGGAGAAGACAAAGCACAATGCAAACCCTGAACACTGTAGGGTAAGAAGGAGCCTACTTGTTGTAGTTTACAAGCACGCGATTGGAGGAGTAAACGTGCTAGTTTTGTGAAAGCATGGTACAATACTCTAGTTTTACATACTCGAGGCTTCCATGGGATCATAAAATGCTTCAGAGTACTGTTTCCATGTCAAAGCCTAAAGGTTATCATAATTAGCAGGCAGTGTTAAATCTGGATGATTTAGTGGAAGTCAGGGGCGGCTCAAGCACATGTGTGGCCTAAAGTAAGTTTAATGTGAGGCCTAAACTTTTAAAAGACTATTGAACACTTGAACTAATGAAATCTTGGAGAAAGAAGATGAGTAATGGAATCTTGGATTGGAGAAAGGGGACGAATAAGAATATCAAAGAGAAAGACAGAAAAAATATAGGGTTTTTTGAAATATGAAGAGATTAGGGAAAAGAAAAGTTAACTTGAACAAATTAAGGAAGAAAAGTAAATTTTTTACACGTTTTCTAGTAAAAGAGTAAAAGGTTAAATTGTCAAATCAACTTAAATTGAAACGTTGAGAAAACAATTCTACCTATTTTTAGTAAGTAAAATGGTTACTTTATTTATCTATCTAAAAAGTTTTATTTTCTTTATATGAATTTTTTTACTTTTTGTATTAAAAATACTAAATATTATTATTTTTTAAATAGCTATAAAACTATTATTTGTAAAAAAATGGGGCCTCCCAAATTTGGGGCCTAAGGCACAAGCCTTACTTGTGATAACAGTAGAGCCGGCCATGGTGGAAGTTGTGGGAGATTGTGAGCAGAGGGATGGCAATGTGAGAGATATCCTCAAGGTTGTGGTATTACAAAGAGACATGATATGCCGCTAGACAGAGTTGTAATTTTTGCTAGGATTAGGGACTTAGGAAATATAGTTAGAAAGAGACCCATAAAAACCAAGACTACAAAGGCATTGCCTTGAAGAAATTGAGATCAAATTAACTAAATGAGCTGAGTATAGTCCATCATCAGCCGAGCGTGACTTCTGTGCTCTCCTAGTATCGTAGTATGTAATAACAGTAAGGTCAAAGGAATAGTTTTATTTCAACTTTCTCGTGTCTCTAGACTGTTTAATGATGTTAGATGGAGCGGAAAGGGTTTTTCTCTTGGTCTTGTTGTGCGGGGCGGGGCCGGGGGGTGGTTGCTTTCTTTAGTTGGGCTGCTCAGCTTGCAGGCAAATCTTTGCTTGGACCAAGGAGGAATGCTGATCATCTTATTTCCTTGATTACATGTAGCAATAAACAGATTTAACTGATGTAGAAATTCAGTGGTACTTGTGCACATTCTATTCTACCTTTCTCTTCCTAAAATTTTTTGGGTCGCTTACTTTGCACAGTGGAGAGGCTGTAGTAACTGATGTCAAAGTTTGAGAGAAAGAAATAGTAGAAAAATATATAGCAATATCATTATCATTTTCACTTGAAACAAGTTAGTGATATTGATATGGCCCCCTTATTGGCGCTTTCTTTTCATGTAGGTTCACATAATTGATTCGTTACCAGAATTTTATCCCAAAGTGGAAGCATGGGTGGAGGATGTCATAATGGAGGAAGGAAATGCAACAATTCTTACCCTATTTGTATGCCTTCTAACAGTGCTTTACCTTCGTGAGCGGCAGCGCAGGCATGTCGCTGCTGCTGGAGAGGTTGCTTTCCCTCATCAACTTGGTGAGCAGGGTGTGCCTGTAGCCAATTAAGCTGTTTCCAGAGAGACTCGATTCTCGGTTTTTTTCTCCACATGGAATGAGTTAAATTCTTTGGCAGAAAGATGCGTAGAAATTTTTTCTCGCTTTGGTCATAGAGAGCCGCCCTTTGTTTTGGGCAATGTTATATATTTGTCATACACACCGACTAATAGGATATAGTGGAAGATTGTCACGACTTGATTTTGCTTTTGTTCATTTGTAGTATAGATTTCAATACTTCTGTCTTTGCAGCTCATTTAATGGAGGTTCTAACATAAAGTGCAATAAAAAATTTGACTTCTCCGTTTCTCTCCCACTTAACTACTACTTGATCTATTGCTTACTATCTAATTAACCAATTAGGTGAGAAATTGTGTGTTTTACACTTTAGCAGTTAAATTTCCTAAATAAAGTTGACAACTCCTGTTTCATGTACCAAGTTTAAATTAAGAAGTTTCGACTAGCACAGAAAGTACTTACATGATTCTGTTTCTATTGTTTTCACTTGAATATTTCCTCTAAGGAATTCTCATTTTCTTTTAACAAAAAAGTTTATAAGCTAACCCCATGCATTTCTCTTCTATTAATCATCAAGCGAAGACAAAAGTGAACACTGTTAAGATTCTACGTAATGTTATAATTACAAGTTATTACACAGGACAAAATAGCAAAAGAATTCACAAACATCTCACAGTTGCTGAAGTAACATAGAGAGGGAAAAATGCAAGCATATATATATATGTTATTCGCATTTTCATATCCACTCGCCCGAAGAACCAAAAAAGTAAGTCAACCATATTTGTTGTAATGATATCCTTGATCAATTGTATGAGCTGATCTTAAACTACGTTAGTAAGGCTTTGTCCAAAGTTGCTGCTCGTATTTTGACTGCTTCTTTGCATCCCTGGGACGTTCACAATCACACTTCTTGCAGACCATGTTTCTTCTGTAGTTCAAGAAGTCGCATCTGTACAAGAATCCAAAAGTATGATGAGTAGAATCCACAAACCCACCCATGCAGCATCAAAGAAAAGTTACTCACGAGGGGCATTCCCACTCTCCCGGATTCAGCAGTCTCTTTGGGCGCAGCTCTGGGCAGCGTAAGCATTTGGTATTGCTAGCAAAATTCATGAAGGCACATCTACAAAGACCCAAAAAAAGAGAAAAGAAGAAAGAAGAGAATTGAGAACCCACACCAGTGAAAAGGAAAAGGGAAACGAGTTGGAAGGAGCCATAAAGGCTACAATAACGAGATCAGTTCAACAACATCCTAATATTGTTCTTAGATTAATAAAAAGGACGAGTATTTTCTCATCATAAGCGAACAATGTGATATTGCAGAAGGGTACACTCAGCATGTTTATAGCGAACTGATATCAGTTTATACAGAGAGTAAGTCGGTAATATTTATAGTAGGCCAATGATATCCACAGTTGACTCATAAACTATGAAACAATATAATTTGCCAAGTGAGGTTTTAAGAATAGATCTGCTTCATAACAGCAGTATATTTTTTTGGATAAACTGCGTGATATTTAGTTTTCATTAAGAAGAAAAGGAAACCTATGGAATATTTAGTAGCTGGTAAATTATATGACGTAACAACATACTGTGGGCAAGTCCAATCTCCAGTTTTCATTTCTTGAACCTTTGACACACGAGCATCTTGACTAGGTCCTTCTGCTTTGCATCTCAGGCATTGTGCATTGCGGGAGAAGTTCATAAAGTCGCATCTGCAGCAAGTCAATGTTAGGACAAGCCCAGAATGTGAGCACTAGGAAGTGACATCAAAAGGAAGAAAAAAGAGGACGAGGGAGGGTTGCTCCAGTTGGGGGTTCAAATCACCCGGGGGGGGGACCCACTGTTACCCCAGGGATTGGCAGTGATAGAGGTTTTGGTTGTGCGGTTTTTGAAAAGGTTACCGAATCTAATAAGAAGGAAAAAGAAACTGGGCACTCTGACAATCCAATCAGAGTCTAGACCACTCATTGGATGGAAAGCTTCATTGTGAAGTCCTCCAATAATACTTAGACAGAATTATTGAGTGCATATCAAACATACAGGTAAAACACAAACACACATGGCAAAGTAACTGAGAACTTACTGCGAACAGATCCAATCTCCTTGCTTCATATCGACATTAGAATGTTTTTTATCTCCCCTACAGAGAAGCATGGTACATTCCAGTGAGTATCAAATTTTTGATTTTAGAATCTAATACTGTTGAAAAATGATTATCTCATCCCAATGCATTTCAACTTATAAGCAACAAGAAAAATCTTAAAATAGGAAAGGTGAAATCTATAAATAACCTCTTACAAGAAGTACAATTATTCGCTTGAATAAATCAGTATGAGCAGCCACTGACCACAATAAAATAGGAGGTTTTAGGCCTCCATGGTTTTTTACAATGTTGAAATTAAGAAAATATCTTTTTTAGATCTCTTATGTGTAAAAGATATCTCCCATGTATAAAAAAAGAGATGGGGTCATAAAACTAAAAACAAGTTTGTAATGGGCCACAAAACCATTTGACCCCCACAATAGTAACAATAACCATCATGTCCACACTTCACACCAATGTGGTCCTAACTTTCTCAACTTACTATCCCTTATCCTAAGTTAGCTTAGAGTTTATTAGTTAACAGTTAAACCACGAACATCCGAAGTTTGATATAGATATAGTAGAACATAATGGCCAATACATTTTCTAAAAAACTTGATAAGATTGGAGCTTATGGATTGAGGAGAAGTTAATGGTAAAAGCATTAAGAAGTTCTACTGGAGGGTTAGGTTTTTCCTTCGGGTATAATTATCATATAAAAAGCTAACCACCATAAGTTAATAATTAGTCTTTTAATACATATTAGTGCAAAATTTCAACAATGTGTGAATGGTTAATCAAGTTTAAATAGAATTAATGTTTTCCTGCTTAGACTTTTGTAGTCCAGGATAAAGGACGTACAAGTTATGTTATATCAATGGAACTTGAACGGTATTGATATCAAGGCACATAAGTTACAGTATTCCATTTTACTCTGCAAGAACTACAGTATTTTCCTTTTAAGGAAAAAATCATAATAACCTTCAAGAAGACTTACTCAAGACCAATTGAATCTCTTCTTTTCATTTGAACATCTTCCCGACCATCCTTTCTTGAACGAAGAGACTGTTTTTTTTGTGGAGAGTCCTTGGGAGCAGGTCTTGGATGCTCAGGATCAAAAGGCGTCTCGCTTAATTCAACCAACTCTGAGAGCAATTTTCTTGAAGATACTTCAATAAGCTCTCTACCAGGAGACATTGCTCCGCTTGAGATAACGGCAGGATCTAAGGCATAGATAAGCAAGACTCGCACAATATCTACTGTACGTGCAACACCCTCATCATCCTTCAATATCAAGTAAGCCCTATCACATGATCCACGGAGAATGCAAGCACCGCATACCTGCAAGTAAGTTCCTTACATAAACCCTCAAAGAACAAGCTCACTGAAAGAAGATGACACTTGAACTGCAATCAATATAACTCGTCCTGAATAGAAACTAAGAAACAATACTACAACAACAACAACAAACCAAGTGTAATCCGACAAGTGGGGTCCGGAGAAATTAAGAAACAATGAATTTTAAAAATTTGAAAGGCAACTCACCTCTCCTTCATCAAGGTTTAGATGCAGCCTTAGCCTTTTCCCCGAGTTAACGACCTTCCTGAATAGATTTGGGCAGCCCTTTTCCACAACTGTCTGCATATCTTGGTTGGACAACTTTCTGCAAAGTAATACACATATGCTTTCAAATTTCAGTTGAGGTGGGAATTGCAATACACAATCTCAGTCAGATATTGTAGTCTCTGTCTTTCCTCGAGATGCAAACATTTAGAAAGTTTCTGACAACCAATACAGACAATTTCCAAGTCAAATGTGTTAATTTCATTTACTTTACTTTATTATTAATATTATCATCATTATCCTTTTTGTGTTTTGTTTTAGCCTCTTCTAAATTTGAAAATTGAAACCAAGGATGCATAAAAAGGATTCCCATTATTATTCCAACGGCCACAAATCTAAAGTATAACAGACATTAAGTAGATTATCAATTTAACTTATCAAAAAAACTACATCATTTTATCCTTGAGGAAAGTTTCAATCTTTGAGCCAATGAGTGTCTTAAATTGCAAACGGAAACGTTTTAAGACTGTAACACCAGCTCTTTCTTTCCCATTTTACTTAATTTCATTGACAAGCAATGTGCACTGCAACAGCTAAACTGTAAAAAGCAGAACTTTCTTACTTAAAAATGTCGGAACGGTCGCGAGAGAAGTTAAGACAAGCATCTTTTAACAGAGTCATATCCGTATAAATACTCGCATCACCATCTTCACTCTTACTTTCAGTGACGTATCCTTTGCTTTTCAAACGGTCCACGAAAGCTACCCATTCAGGCCACGGATGATTTCTAGTATTGACCACTGGTTCGATTGTATTGGTCTCAAGTGTAGCTGAGGTACAATTGTACCTGCGGAACCGTACAACAGGCGAAGCCAATGGCTTTATGAAGCGAATTGGGCTGAATGGAGTAAAGGTGTTTGTAGGCTTATTATGGTTTCGGACAATAGAGGCACCGAGTAGAAAGAACAATCTAGAAGCTGACATTTTTACAGTATAAAAATGCACTGTTTGAGATTTAGGTTTCGTTAGAAAACCATGGAAGCTGAGGTTGAAGAAAGTGCAGGGTTTTTGATAGGGTTTTGATGTTCAAAGATCACCTTTTTTTTTTTTGTTGATAATTTTCGTTGCCGGCATTACCAGTAAATGAGAAAATGGAAAAAGGGGCAAAATACCCTTGTACTATTAAAAATGGTTAACATTTACCCTCCCTAATAATTTCCGTTCAAATCTACCCCCGTCGTTAGTAAAGTAAACACAAATACCCCTATTACTAATAGTTGTCCATAGTGGCACAACATTCACCAACTTTTAAGCCTAGGTGGAGTCCATGTCATTATTTTTTTTATGATATATTTTAAAACAAATAACTAAACCTACCTCTTCCTTAATTAAAATCTTCTTCCTCTAAAGTCTACCATTGCTAGCATTATTCTTTAGATTTCAGCCTATTCTTAAAGGAGTTTCGAAACGAAACCAAACTCCATTTTGCAAACGCGTCTTTTCTTTAAAAACTCGAAATGTGCAATCTACATCCCACAAATGTGTCTATCCCTGATGGAGATCTCATCGCCAAGCTTGCCCCCAAAGAAAAAAACCCAAAAAGTGAATGGGCAAACAAATTGTTGGTTTTCACCGTTTTCAGCCTGCCAAGATTGTGTGAAAATTGATGAAGATCAGAATTTAAATGCGCCAAAGAAAAAATTTGAAGTTCTTTTTGGGTTTTTTTTCTTTGGGGGCAAGCTTGGCGATGAGATCCCCATTAGAGATAAATACATTTGTGAGACAATCTGAGATCTTATTTCGGTTCGATACGTCCACCTACGAGACTCACCTATTACATAATCCGGGTTTTTGAAAACAGACGCGTTTGCAAAAATAGAGTTTGGTTTAGTTTCGAAACTCCTCTAAAAGTAGGCTGAAATCTAAAGAATAATGCTGGCAGTGGCAGTCTTTAAAGGAGAAGAAGACTTTAATTAATGAAGGGGTATGTTAAGTCATTTGTTTTAAAAAATATTGTAAAAAATAATGACATGGAGTACACCTAGACTTGACAATTGATGGGTCCCGTGCCACTATGGACAACTGTCAGTGAGAGATATTTTTGTTTACTTTGCTAACGACAGGGATAGATTTAAACGTAAAGTATCACGGAAGATACATGTGAACTATTTTCAATAGTACAAGGATATATTTGACCTTTTTCCATGAGAAAAATTAAGGGAATGAAAAAACAAAAAAAAATCATTTACATATGCAGTCCGAGAAAATTCATTGGATAACCACCTTCGTCCCTCTTATTTTTATTAAGTAAAAAAGAAAACCGATTGACCATAAAAATATCGCATTTTTGAAAAAAATTTGCTTTTTTCGAAAACAGTATTTGGCCATAAAATTTTTAATTTTTAGTTGAAGATGAATTTTGGAATTTTTCAAAAATTTTAAAAACTCCAAAAGATTATTTTTAAAATTTTCACTCAAATCACCCACAAAAATTCAAAACAATCCAAAATTATATTCTTGTCCAAACACAACTCTAATTTTCAAATATCATTTTTACTTAATTTTTTTTCTTCAAAATTTTACAATTCTTATGTCCAAACGTCCAAAAAGGCTTTTTTCACTATTTTTGGATTTTTAACTAGTGTGTGAAACTATTTTCAAAAAATATTGAAGACTACTAATAATTAGCAAATCAAACAATATTTGATAAAATTTGAAGTATTAAAGATTAATAATAGTGTTTGGATGTTAGTTGGAGCAAGTAATACCAAATTAAAAGTTAAGATAGTTGTAAGAAAATACATTCCGGAGTAATGGAAGTCACTTTTACCTTAGAAAATAATTTTCTCATTGAAAAGAGTTTATCGAAAAATAACTTTCGTCATCGTACCAAGTAATATTGTAAAAGTTTATTATATTAAGAAAGTTTCATAAGTAAACGTATAAACAATTTTTTGGGGGTTTCCTGCGAGTACTTTGTGTAAATTATCCATTTATCCTCAAAAATTTAACTTTAATAAAAATATTTAATTATTTTACCAAAATTGATTAAATTCATGAGGTGTAGCATATTTCATTCAAAGTAGTGACTGAAATAAATACTAATAACTAAAATATCATCATAAATTTTTATATAAAGTTAATATAATAATTAATTAATAATGCACTTATTTTTCTTGTTATTTTTTGATAGTAATGCCCTAAGTGAAAAAACAATTTTGTTTGAATAGTTTTTTGAAATCTATATTATTATAAAAATATGAATAAAATACTGGATTACAAAATAACCTTTTAATATTAAGCAAATTCTAGACATTAACATTGTAATCGTATTAGTTTTAGGACATAATTAGGAATCCTACATGATTACCTTTAGGAACCCTATTAGTATAATTTTTTTTGGGCATAGATATTAGCCTTGTAATCCTATTATTTTTAGGATATACTTCTTAAAAATTTTCTATTACTAATTTAATTTGAAAACGTATTATATTGTCCAAATCCATTTAGAAATAGGAGAGCCTATATTATTATAAAAGCACAAATATAATATTGATAGATCAAAATAGCCCTAAAATATTAAACAGAAGTACTTATAAGGAAATGATATAACTGTGCGTTAATTTTTTTTAATATTTAAACTTTTAAAATTAATACAATCTTGTAAATTGAATTCTTATTAAAAATACGTATGAAGGTTTAATAAAAATCAATTTCATAAGAATCCTCCATGTTGGTAATACATTACCACTTTATAATATTCAATACCAAAAAAAAAAAATGCTAAACGGATTGCATAGAGCGTTGAAATTGAGAAAAAAATCCCTGCAATAATATATTATTATATTATATCTGAACTGCTNAAAAAAATGCTAAACGGACCGCATAAAGCGTTGAAATTGAGAAATAATTCTCACGATAATATATTATTATATTATATTTGAATTGTTTTCCTACTCAAGTAATATTTTTTATTATTAGCTTTTCATGTAATATAGAAAAATATACAAAATTGATAAAGAACAACTAAGAAAATTTTTAAGAATATAAATGTGTGAGAAAAGAAAGAAAATGATTGGTAAGAGCCAATGCCACTAATGATTTTGTAAACATAAAGATCTAAAAGTAGAATGTCATCGATATGTTTACTCTTTAGAAATAAAATTTATGGTGGATAAAATTATAATCACGGTTAAATATTCAAAGATGAGATGAACTAATATTAAGAATCTAAATCAACAAAAAATAAATTATATTTTAAGTTAAAACTAAATAATCAAATCTTTCAATTAATTATTTAGCAAGAGAATCCAAATAAATTATTTTTTAAATTTATCATATGAGTAAAATTATTTTTCAAGTTAAAAATAAATAAATTAGGGTATATAAATTTATTCCATAAAAAGAGTGTTAGAGATTATAAAAAAAATAGATCACAAGGAAAAAAGATTAGTATAATATTAATAAGGCCATACAAGTGTTTGAGGAAGTATAGTCAAAACTAAATCCTGAACAAGAATAAACTTTCAAGCTGTATTATAAAAATCGACTTTGGCATAGCGAGATTTTTGTAGATACCTCCGACAGAATTGAAATAATATTCATATGTTATTCATTACTTGCAAATGTCAAGTCAAGAGGCATGATACTATTAGTAATAAGAACAAGTGGTGTACCATCAACGATTTTATTACGAGGTTATACAACTCACTTTACATTTGATATAGCTCTTCAAATAACTGAAATAACCATCACAGGTATATCAAATCAGAGCAATGGTGCTAGATTTATAAGAAAAAACAAAAGTGATAATATGGGATGAAGCTCTTTTGGCTAAGCGTCAAATGATCAAAATAATCGCCAAGAGTTTTAGAGATATATTATATATCAATGAACCATTTGGTGGAAAAGTAATAGTTTGGGAGATGAGTACTGTCGAGTACGATCAGTAGTTCCAAAATTGATCAAAGCAAAAACTATAAAAGGTAGCATGCCAAAATTATACTTATGACCTCAAATAAAAAATATTCAAATGACAGAAAATATAAAAATAAGAATAGATCCAACATTCAGTGACTTCTTGCTTCGTGTTAGAAACGAAGAAGAGCATACAATAAAAGATGATTCGGTTCTTCTAGAGCACTTGGTTATCAACCTCATGGTAATAGTAGTGTATTTAATAAGGAAAATATTTTCATCATTAGATTAAAACACAATTTGTGCAAATTACATGATAGAAATCAATGAGTTATCTTAGCTAGTAGAATCGAATATGTTGATCAACTAAATAAAATGTTGATTGCTAAGTTTTATGGTAAAAACAAAATATTTTTTAGTTTTGACTCAATAAAAGATGATACCAACAGTTACTACCAAAAAAAAATACTTAAATACTTTAATACCAAATGACCTTCTATTGTATATGTATGTCATCAACTTTATTATTTTTTATGTATGTTAGTGTCACCACATATGTGTTAGACTAAGTTAAAATTGATCTTCCATTGCATATATATTAGTTTTGAAGAAAACTATGCCCGTTATGCTACTGAAAACTTAGATTCGCTGAATAGCTTATGTAATAGTACACATATGGTATATAGAAGTTTTGACAATATAACGTCATACATGCAGAACTTATGATATTGGTCAATGTGCTTCTAAGTATGTGTTTATCCCCGAATTCAACTTTTATTTTTTGAAATTAAAGAATATCCTTTTAAATTTACGTGAAAATAAATTTGCAGTATGTTTATGTTTTGTAGTTATAATAAATAAAGCACAAGGACAAACATCCTAAATATTGAACTATTTTTACCACAATATGTTTTCTTACACAAATAACTATATGTTGCACTTTCAAGAAAGATATCAACATCGACAACAATAGTTCTGGTTATGGCAGAGTAACCAAAGTATTAGAAGGAAACATATACAAAAAAATACCATATATAAAGAAGTGTTCGGTAAGATACCATCACATTAGATACAAACTACAATACATAATTAATTACTTAACATGACTAAAATTGACCATTTATGTAAGTTCTTATGATATCTTTTCATTTTGAATCACGTATTATGCTAATATAATAATATTTTTCGACATTTAGATGATTGTTATAGTATTGTAAATAAATTTTCTTATTA